AACTTAATTTTAATGAAAAATAACAAATGAAACCATATATAATTATAATCTATGACAAAAATACTATTATAAACCAGGTTAGTGGATAATTCAGCAGAAAAAGTTATTCTAGAAAAAGCATGTGCGCACAATAATTTTATAAAAACATTAAACTAAACAACATTTAGTGAAACAACATTATTTAGTGGGAAACAAATAAAAGTTAATAAGTGTAGGACTAAATCTGGTAAAATGTTACACATTGCTCTTTGTATTGTTGTAAAATACATTCATGAAAAACAAGTAACCTAAATATATATATATATATATATATGTATATATATATATACTATAAAAAAGACATTTCTTTTAAATGCATAGCACAGTAATGAAGGCAGCAACGTATGATCGATAGAACAGAACAAAAAAGACAATTGATAATCTTTCATTGCGCAAAAGTATAATACTAAAGCGCGGCACAAAGCGCTTATGCGCATCCAGAATAAGGGTGTATCACACTAGGCAATCTTAACCGTGCCCGAGCACGTCTTGACCCCCAAAGCCCGGTTCGTTTGACTAGTGTGTGATCACTCCGTGCCGCAGTTCGTTTAGCCGGCCCTGGCTCGGTTGGAAGAGGTGGGCCAGAGCGCGGTTCACTTGGGCTCGGGCGCGGTACGCATGTAGTGTGATCGCTCCGTGCCTCGCTCGGTTGGAAGAGGTGGGCCAGAGCGCGGTTCAGTTATATACAGATCAGTGAGTGTGAGCGCTAACTGCACCCGAGCGCTGAACTTCTGTAATAAACCACAAAGTTAACAAAACGATGCACTCCACTGTGCTGAGCGAGAGCGCTTCTCTGCTGTCTTCACGTGCTATCGGAAACTTCATATTTCCCACTTATGAAGTCGTGAGTGCTTCATGTGAGCGCTGCTGCAGTCATAGGCCCACCCCAAATGCTCTCATTTGTTAAGACGCGTGGTGACACCCATCCCAAGCCAGTACTGATCAACATCCCACCCCTCCTGTGACCCATGGTTTGTCTGTGTATTCAGAGCCAGTGAGCATTGGACTTTCATAATAATAAAAAAGCGCGATAAAATAATTGTCGGCGTTAATCAATTAATGTTTTAACGCGATAACGCGTTAACTTGCCCAGCCCTAATTTAAATATATTTCCAAGATTATGAAATCTGTATGCACTCAAAGTTTTCATTGCTTGCTTGATCAGCTGTTTGATCAACAGTCTCACTACGTAGCAGTTTATAAAGACTGCTGACATTTTACAAGTTTATTTCCTTTATCGACAAAAGCAACTTATGTCAGAGACATAAGGAATATTAACATTGTTACTGTTTAATTACAATGGCAAATATATCATGGCGGAGAAAATTAATCGTAGATGGAGGTTTTAAACGCAGGTTAGAATTCTAATCCCAGATTTGTTCATCTGTGTTTAAAATGAAGTGGTACTCGATTTAAAATAAAACCCAGATCAACTAATCCTTGATTAGCTCTAAACTTTGCTTAAATTAATCCTTGTTGGTGCAACCCACCCTAAGTGTCTGTTCAAGGTGGCACTCATTAAGTAGACCACTATATGACATCAGCGGTCCCCTTCTTGTGCTGGATGTTAGTCTTTTAATATGAATCCACTAGCATGTGTGCATACTGTGGCTCGCGCTGCAGGGGCAATGGAAAAGATCAATGTGGCACACCTGACTTGCCGAGTCCTCCCTATAGAGGAGCTGTTGCTTATTAACTTTAATTAAATCGCCGCGGAATCGTGCGCTACTCGCCGGAGCGAAAAACGGCCGAATCCCCTCCTTTGAGAGCCTGCCAGACGCCTTTGGATCTCCTTCATTCTCTGTCTATTGAAGGGTATAAAATGGGCAGTGATAAGCGAATTACAAAAGGCATCCTGGAGGAATAGGAAGGGATATTTTTCACAGTAACACAACCTGGATTGATTCTGATTGATTTTCCCAAACCACCAGTAACAAGGCTTGTAAGCAAGCACGCATATGCACGCGCACACATCTCGCTCCCCAGAACAGCCTTATTAAACTTTGTGTAAAGCATTTCCTGGAATTGAATTCAGTGGGGAGCTTGCTGTGGGAGTCTCTCAGTGGGCTTCTCATGCATACTGCACATACATCCTGAATGTCAGGATAGTGTTGGATGATGTTAGAATATCCTTTTATGCATTATTTCCCTGTAATTCCTAAATGAATTAAATTTGTTTCAGTGGTGCAGTTCTGTTGTTATGGAAGATGCAAGCTGTTATTACAAATAGTAGTGGAGTTTTATTTTAATTGGGGCTGTGAATCAATAAAAATGTAAAAAAAAAAAATCTCAGTTTTCTGTGATTTAATAGTAATTAATCATGTTAAGTGCAGTTAAAGGGATAGTTCACCAAAAAAATGAAAATTCGGTCATTAATTACTCACCCTCATGTCGTTTCAAAACCAATAAGACCTTTGTTCATCTTCGGAACACAAATTAAGATATTTTAGATTAAATCCGAGAGCTTTCTGATCCGGCATAGACAGCCATGCAACTACCACGTTCAAGGTCCAGAAAGGTAGTAAGGACATCAATAAAATTGTCCATGTGACATCAGTGGTTCAACAGTAATTTTCTGAAGCTACAAGAATACTTTTTGTGCGCAGAGAAAACAAAAATAATTACTTTATTCAACAATTTCTTCTCTTCTATGTCAGTTTTTGATGCACATTCATTAGAGTATAATAACGTATGCGTGTGGTGCTGCTGACACAGGAGCCAGTGTTTCACTCTAAAGACATTTATTTACCGTTTACTTTAATCTGCCATCAGATGTTGTTGTCATAATGTGTTGCTATGGGTTGCGTCTTGCTTTGAACCTGACTGACTGGACAGACTGGCATTCTTCCACAGCGAGCTTTATGCTTTCTAACCTTGTTTTTTTCTAGGCTTGATTGTGTTTATGGGGTGCTTTGTTTAAAAAAAAATTATGATATCTCTGTTTGCATTGAACTTTCAGCATCGTAACTTTGCAGATATTGTTTATGCTCAAACAGCAACATTACACACTAACTAACATTAAAAAAGCGCATTTACTTGTCTTTGGAAACTGTTTGAAGTCAGTTGGGGAGATGATAGTGTTAGACTGCTTAGCATCTCTTTGATAGTGGGGAGAATTATTTGGCAATTTAGCACCCATATAAATGTATAGTCTGTGGCCAGGACTGTAATTTATATGCAAATATCAAAGGCTAAAAGGGGTCTCTTAAGCCATAAACCCGAAAGACCATCCATGATTTTACGCAGACGCTACAGCCCCCCTTTTGGCTGATGAAGTTCACCTGCACACATCGTCAGACAACAGTTTTCATGATGTTCGGACAGCAGGTGGATCATGATGATCGGGTGGCAGGTGGATCATGATGGCTAGATGGCAGGTGGATCCTGAAGGCCGGATGGCATGTCAATCCTAATTTTCAGAAGGCAGGTGGATCAGGATTGTCAGATGGCAGGTGGATCCTAATTTTCCCCAGCCTTTGGATCCTCAGCTTGGGTGTTAACCTTGGTCAGGTTCAGCATTGTCTCCGCCTGGGTCCCTCTTTTCCGGTAACTCCGTTTGAAGGTTCGAGGAAGGGCAGCTGTGCACCTGTTAATGGACCTTTGCACCCCGTTGACTCTGAGCGAGGAGGTTGTGGGCGAGGGGCCCGATGATCTTGGTGAGATCTTTGTGGCTGTAGTCCTGTGTCGGATCGTGTGACATCAGGGCGCTCAGGTTGTCGTCGAGCTGTTCCCGGCTCAGGTGCTGCAGGCCGCCGGCTGCTTCAGACAGGAGTGTACCAGTTATGGCACTCAACCAGGACTCTAGTCGATTCCAGTGGGCATCAGGGCTGGATGATCGAGACATGCTGGCTCACTGGTGAAGAGAGACTGGTGAAGAGAGAGAGAGAGGGAGAGAGGGACAGCACGAAAAGGCCAATGCAAGTCCTTACAGCGTTAGCAGGCTGCAATTATAGTAATTATATGTTCTATGCACGGTCTGTTTGATGAGTACAAACAGTTTGCGGAGTGTGGACCAGACACCTGTTATCTCAGCCGTGAATGGCAAGGTGTGTCTAATTGTTGTGGGGGGGCCCCGGAAAAGATCTAACTAAGATTGTTGACAGCGTGATCGTCTAAAAACTTTGGCAGCTTGGGTCGTCAATCTATTACTCAGCCTTCCCTGATGATTCTCAAAGGTTCGGTCTCTAGGCAAACAGAACAGAACAAAATGAAAAACAAACAAACCAACAAACCAATATAAATGTATAGTCTGTGGCCAGGACTGTAATTTATATGCAAATGTCAAAGGCTAAAAGGGGTCTCTTAAGCCATAAACCCCAAAGACCATCCATGATTTTACGCAGACGCTACATATCAGTAGTCCCATATTCATAATTGTGACCACACAGTTGGTTTACAATATCTACCATTGTAACATGTTTACGTCTACCAATGTCTATTTGTATATATACATACATATACACTATACACACTGTAGTAATTGTTATTTTTTATTTATAAATGTTTTTTTTACATTTGAGCCAGTGGCCATGAGAAACTCTCTGCTGATCCCTGTATAAATTGGATTGATTTTAATAACTTTATAACTTTATTATACTTGAAGTGTGCACTAAGCCCTAGAAAAATACAAGTATACTCAATATTCAGTGACTTGAATCAGATTGTGGGTGCAAAAAAACATGATCCGGACATCCCTGATAAATTTTTTTTAATATGCATTTTTTTATAATTTATTAACAATTACAGAACATGATCAAACTTAAAACAACTTTTAATAAAAAATGTAATCCATGTCAATGTAATCATATTTTAATTAATAGCATGTTAAGCATTGCCTTTATTGTAAAATAACTCCACATGATGTTTCTCTCTTTTTTAATATAAAGTAGCGTCTTTTTGAACTCACCAGCTTCTATGCACATTTCATCTCTTTAATGATAGATTTATTTTGACTATTTTAGAGAAAACGAAGTTCTGAAGGTCCAGCTGAAGAAGTATGTTGGAGCTGTCCAAATGCTGAAAAGAGAAGGCAGCCAAGGCAATGACGGTAAGGCAGTGTTCTCATACTATAGCATGTTTAATAAAATGTGGCCACCTTGCAGCCATTTTCATATACTTGGTGGTTTTTTAAAACTTGTAACCAGATAAAACCACCTATTTAAAGTCAGATACATAAACATGAATGATTTTGTGGAGGAAAAAGGACTGTTCATTTTTTTCAGTGTAAAAAACCCCCCCACAGTTATCTGTGCAGTGATGCATTGTATCGGCAGACAATCCAATCCCCTGGAGGGTTTAGAAGGGACCCAAACATTTTCTAATAAAATAAAAAAAATTGAAATATTGCATTGCAGTTGTTCCTTTGCTTCTGCAGACTATTAGCATGTGTGTGATGAATGACATGACATCCCTCTGTGGGATGCTGTCATATGTTTGAACAGCCTGTGTCTATAATTTCAGTAATTTCTGCATTTTGGTGGGAATTTCAATTATCTCTACATCATTTCATCAACAGCTTGCATCAGATGAACATTGTAAGATTTTTTCCATGCAGTAAGTTTAGTGTGGTAGCACGGCTCTCATATGCAAAGTAAAAGTATGCCTTACAGGAGCTGAAATGCGAAGCGTTTATCAAAATTCCTGTGTGGGTTGTTTGCGTCTCAGCCCTTTCGATAAATCCAGATAACTGGGTGATGCACACCCAGCAACAATTGGTTGCGAACCTTTATTACTGCATCTCTTTAATGGATTTGACAAACATGCTCATCTTCACAGATCAGCAGTCGCAGCTCTCCCAGCTCGTCATTGCGTTGCGGTATTACAGTATCAGTCAGATCTGTGTGTGGAAGTGTGGTCCCACACGAGAGTAAGCCTCAGAGAAACCCCAAACGGATGCCTAATAAAGAGTTTTATACGGCCGGATCATGCTGCGTGTGCCGGGTCTATTATGGCTCCATTGTGGATGCACCGAGCAGCACTATTGTTGCAAATTTCCCCATTTGCTGTCTATCTGGCTTTCTCTCTCTCTGCTGCTGCAAGAAATAAAACTAGAAAAATAGAGGCGACCACATGCGAGTCTAATGCTCCATTCGAAAACCCAGTGAGCTGCCTATGGAGGCTGGGTTTTAAACCATTGAAGATGTGCTCCCAACTTGATGTTAGGCATAGGCATTCCTTGCCTGCCTTCTTTTTAATCAAATGTTATGCCGTTTTAGCAACATTTTATGATATCATTGCATGTATCCTTCACAGAATATGCATTCCCAGAATGCATTGTGACCAGCTCTAGTGATAAGATGAATCTAAATTGGCAAACGAGAAATGCCATTGTAATTTTTTTTATTTACGAGTATTGAACGAGTATTTATGATTTGAAGTAGCTCTTTGTAAATTAATTATTTTTCAAATATTTATGAAAAATAAATTATACAATTAATTTAATAAAAATTTTTTATATAATTATTTGAAAATTAATTTAATTTCAAGATATAAACTCAGAATTCTGAATGACTTTCTGAGTTTACATCTCTCAAAAAAAGGTAATTGTGTTTTATCTCACATTTCTGACTTTTATTCGCTGTCGCAAGTTATATCTTGCAATTCTGACATTTTAACTTGCAATTTCAAATTTATCAAGAGAAAAAACGCCTAAATTGTGAGAGAAAAGGTTGCAGTTACCTTTTTTTATTATTTTTCCTGTGGTGGAACAAGCTTCCATACTCAGTTAATCTGATTTGACTTTTATTACAACATACAGTTTTAAGTAGTGCTGTCAAACGATTAATCGCGATTAATATATATATTGAAAATATTTACATGTATTTACATGTATGTATTTATATATACACAATAAATATACACAGTATACACACATATATTATGTAAACAAAAACTTTTATTTTGGATGCAGTTAATCGCGATTAATCGTTTGACAGCACTAGTTTTAAGTAAATAAGTTTCATTTTTAGGTGATTTGTTTTTGTTGTAATGCTTATCATTGAGCTATCATAACTTTGCACAGTATTAGCGTCAGACTGTTCTATTTATAGGCTTGATTGTGTTTATGGGGTGCAGTCTAACATGTGTTAATGCTTCGTTTGTTAAAAAACGCATTATTTTTCACATAATTTACCTTTATTCCACACCGCTCTGTCCCTTCTCCTCTGAACGCACTGATCATTTCCTGCTTTTATGACGCCCCTCCCTCAGAAATACACGATGGGCTCTGATTGGCTAGCTAGCCCAGTGTGTTGTGATTGGCTAAACCGCCTCTAGCGCACGTCTAAAAGTCCCGCCCCTCAACATAGCGGCATGAGCTCCGGTTGTATTGTAAACAATGACGTCGTCTATATTGCTTTTCAATTTGAGCCCGATTGAGACGCAGAGTAGATTAGTGAAGAGGATCGCGCAGAACCTGTGCAAGCACGGCTTTTAATGGTGGGCCTAAGATTTTTGTTTGTTGTTGTGTCATACTTTTAGATACGCTGTTATTTGTAAATGCTACTGCTTCTGTTAGCTTTTAATATACGGTTTTATCCTGATTAAAGCTAGGCCAGGAACGTATTGAGAACCGCTGCTTTAGAACATTGATTTTGAAACTTGTGAATCCATTAGAATTGTTAGAAGACAGAATCGCAATTCATATATGAATATATTTTTATGTGCACCCCTAGTTTTCTCTTCCTCTTCTCTAAATAAGCTCAGCATGGCCTCGCCCCCTTTGCTGCGTGTTCCCGGAGGCTGGGTTTATGTAAAATTCTGGGTTCTTGACATAACGGACCTGGGAAGTAACTCGTTGTAGTCCCTTACCAGTCGTTTTTGTAGGCATTAAACTGCCAGAATTTTAAAAGACAATATCTCCGTTTGCATTGAACTTTCAGATTCGTAACTTTGCAGATATTGTTTATGATCAAACAGCAACATTACACACTAACTAACATTAAAAAAGTGAAATCGCAATTAACCCCCCCTTTAAGTCTTCTGTATGCAACACTCTTTGTATGGTGCGCTGCCTATGTAGAGCACGCACATATGAGGTTCTGTGACTGTTAGGTGCTGCCTGTGTAGGCTGTAGACAGCGAGGCAGATCACTAGATTGTAGAACAGGGCTTAAATGATTCCTCCCTCCATGTCTTCTGGGCTAATGATGTGTCCGTACTGTACTCTGACTTTGATGTTGAACAGCAACTGAAAAGGATGGTACGGACACATCAAATTGATATACAAGCGCACAATACGAGACTTTTTCATGTTCTGTCAGACTGTGCGCACATGATATGAGCTCTTTTGAAAGTTTTGCTGTAAGATCATGATATGTTAAAAAAGAATTCCTTGCATCTCCCCAAAGTTGAACTGCTATCACGGTATTGCGAGTGTTGGATTAGAGCATGCAATTAGATAAACGCCTCGCTCCACCAAAATGTGAAATTGAAGAATCTTTTTCATTCCCATATCAAATATCCTTTTATTAGGCACTGGAAGTGAACAGGAAATCATGCAAATGAGGAGAGGTTAAGTGTCTTGTCACTTGCAGAGGCTGCAAAGAGAGCAGAAACAGCTGGGGTTTTAGGTTTTTTGTTTCTGTTCTTTTCTCCAGAAATGTGGGTCAAAGGGAGAGTCATCAGTTCTGGGATAACCCAAGTTGAGAGAACCCTACATTTGTCTCTTGTTGATGGATGGTAGCATCTCGTTATAATATAAATGTATCTGTGTAGTTAGAAAAAAGAAGTTACAGGAATGGGTCGCTGTGTTTGACTAGTTGTCCAACAACCAAATAGTTAATTAGTGTGGTCAGCAATTTTATATAGATTATTTTCCTTTTTCTAATTAGCATTCTAACACACTGCTGTTTTTTTTAGCTGACAGTTGGCACCATTTCAGAGAAGTTTCATACTTTTCTAGCTTTTTTCTAACACAAGAACTAATTCCTTATTAAGGACTTTTGCTATTGGTAAGTGTGGCTTGGCATTTAGTAGCAACTTTTTTTTTTGTTTAAAGCAGGGGTTTGCAAACTTTTCGACATGACATGCCATTTTTTATTTTTCTGGTTAACCACTATGCCAATATCACCTCCCCCTCCTTATTTTTTTAAATGCATGCTGTATTTATATATTACATAAGCATTTTTAAATGATAAGATAAAAAACCAATATTTGATTTTCATTTAAGCATTTTTTCATAAATTGTTTTTTTTTAAGTGCCCCTATTATGGATTTTTGAAAATGACCTTTCATGCAGTGTGTAACACAGCTCTAAGTGAATGAAAACATCCTGCAATGTTTTAAATCTGAAAGTGCACCGTGTATAAAGTTATTGTCTCTCAAAAGAAAGAGTCGACTCTGAATCACTGAAACGAGTCGTTTTTAAAACGAATCCCAAGCCAGTTCATGTTGATGTCAACATGAGATTAGCGTCATGCAAAGGAGGGGTTTGGAAAAATGAATCGTTGAGCGAATCATTTGGGAGTCATTGAGCAAGTAAGGTAAAAATAATTGCATATTATAAGACAATGAAAGTGTTTTTTGACCTTGCATGCATGTCAACCTGTTGTTGGGGACTCTCAAAACCAAAATATGAACCTTTCATAACCCATAATAGGGGCACTTTAAACTTTTCCAAGGTTCTTTAATAACAGATGTACAACGTGACTGTACTGAACACCACTGAATGTGTGTGTGTAACAAGGCCAATTGTGCATTAAAACTGTTCAGTTTAATCACCGTTCTATATTAACTCTTCCCGCCAGCGTTTTTGAAAAAAGTTGCCAGCCACCGCCAGCGTTTTTGCTGATTTTCCAGAATATTTTGTTGTATGAATATCTGAACATGCAATACAGTAAAATAAAGATCAGACCCTCTACTTTCAAACAAAAAAATCTGTTTTATTCTAGATTCAAGCTTTGTTTTTTATCAACACTTGAATGCAGGTAGGTTTCATAAAAAAGCAACATTTTGAGCAAAAAGCTGAGAAAATCACATTTTTATCAAATACTACATCTGGATCATATTCATCAGTAATATTATCAGAACAAAGATGCAGTATGCTAGA